GGGGGGGGGGGCGGCAACCCCACTCTTAGAATTCAGATGAGGTTTCTTCATTTTATTTAGTTTACTGCAGAGAGGTCTGTGTGTTTGGAAGCTTTTATTTTGAAGGGCGGCAGTCCTCATCTGATGGCAGCCTTCCATCCCTTTAATAGGACGAGCAGCAGACAGGCTTGTGTTGTGCAGTGCATCACATTGAGCTCTCTTGTCCAGCATGAACCATCTTACAGCTCGTGGACTTTCAAAGTATTTCAATTCTCTTGACTTCGCAGCACCATGCAGCGTAGTGGTTTAAAATACTACAACTTTTTGGAACTTATTTTAATAAATGACACTGTTACAAGATACTGCGTCTTTGCTTGATTCACATGCACTGCAGTGACTTTCAGATCAGTTAGTTTACATGTTATATGCAAACATTTAAGTGTCTTATATACAAGTCATATTGAGAATGAATGAAAATACATAGAAATGTCTCGTTTAGTGTAATGTTGTAAATTCGATGTATTCTTACTGCACGCTTTACAACCTCGTGATGAAATTACCAGTAACCACAGCGGTCATAAACGACAAAGCACACCAACATTTGAGGTTATTTAATTAATCAATCATAGAAAAGGGTGCCTGAGCAGAGGAAGAGGAAGATGAAAAGCTTTGTGGTTAGAGTAGAAAATATTTCTCAGAAAGTGACAAGCTAGGTACATATTATATAATAATATACATTTACGCTTCCTTCCAGAATTACCTATTTAAATATGGGTCTGCCAATCATTTACAAGTCAACTTCAGAAGCATTAAGTTAAATTCTAGCTGGCAGTGTGGCCGGCTTTAACCGTTTTCTTCAGATGGTGGTAGTTTGGCAAAATCTTCATCAGAAAGTCCAGCTGAAGAGTCTGAGGCTGTGAAGGTGAGAACAGACATTAATAAGCTGAGGACTTATGAGTGGGGTTTTACACATTGGAGATTGTATTTTTTTTCCTTTACTTGCAGATGTACGCAGGAATGTCCAAAACCTAATGTGAACCTGCAGTGTAAATATGTTACTGTAGCACATTTACTATGTATTTCACACAGGGTGCTATTGCAATATTTATATATGTAGGAACATCTCAGACATGAAAGATGTGCTTTGAAGACGAGCAAGCTCTGATCATATAAACACTAGTGCGGGGCCCTTTCCAAACTGGCAACTGCTCGTCCAAACTACTTCACGCTCGACGCTGCGCATCCTTTTGTCCTGAGAGATACAGCTGCCAAGGGTGAAGTCCATCGGATGAGCGGTGGCGGTCCTGCCGTTATTTAGATGACCAAAATGTGTAACCCATCAGAGCAGGGACTTACCATGATACACACACACAGTATGAACTCTCGGTCAAGTTGTTTAAGACAGGTGTGCCAGCGAAATCTACTACAAAACACCACCTCAGGCTCCTGCCTCCAGTTACCAATGAGATAAATCAACCCCTCTCTGACGGCCTCAGTAAAAGAAAACACATTTTAATTGGTCCACCTAGGAGCACAAAATGTAATGGACCTCCACGGTACCTGCGGTCTCTCCGTCTGAACCCGCCTCATACATCCAGAGCCGTAGATGACCGTGTTCTCTGGTATGACTTCACAGGTGTTGACCTGACAGAAGGCTCCAATGATACAGCCGCTGGTGAGGATCACATTCCTCCCAACGTCAGCTAGACAACAAAAGAGGAGAATTGAAATAGGGTGAGCTGATTGATCTTATTTGATCAGATACAAAAAAAACACAACTATGCACTGCAGCTATTACACATGTTAAAAACAAAGATGAAAACACAATAGAGGCTGAAGGCTTATGCCCATAGCGGTCCTGCAGATGACAAACACACAAACATCCTACCTTTGGATTCAATCACGTTGTTGTCCCCAATTTTCAGGGCTTGTGATACTGTGAGTTGTCAGCTAAGGCATTTTTTAAATATAGTTAATGGTCACAATATGAAATCATTTGACTTCTGGAATAAGAGTGGTCAGGCGAGTCAAAAAGGATACCACAGCCAACTTCAAACACGTTGTTCATGCCAATGGTCATCGTCTTTGGTTCCACCTCGGACTCCGGTGTGATATTTTCTGGGTAACTGTGGGGTGGAACAAACAAGTTTGTTATTGTCGTGACGCAGTCACAGGTGATTTCAAAACAGAGACAGCACCTGTGCCAAGAGTACCCATCTCATAACAGTGTTACACATAGAGGAACAAGGCATCGTGAGTACCCATTAATGATCAGAGCTTGCTCCTCGATCAAGTTGCCTTCTCCAATCACGATGGGTCCTGCCTCTGCGATGATGCGTGCTTTTGGGTGGACTACTGTCCGTGGGCCTGAGGCAACACAGATCATAAAACAAACAGACTTAGGTTAAGCTAATGTAACGTTAAACCTGCAGAATTAGTTCAGAGTTTAATCCGATTGGAGGTTAAGAAATGCAAGTTTTGTCAAGTCAGCAGTGACTACTTGGAAGCGACCCAAAGCGAAACATCTTACCTATGGTGACATCTCCTCGAATTTCACTTTCAACACAAATTACGGCTCCAGCAGCTATCTTGACACTGTAAAAAAAAAAGAAGTAAAACAGTGACCGAGGACATGAGAGACAAATAAGGGTGAAAATGTTAGCTAACGTTGCTAGCTAGCCAATTCACTAGCGGTCTAAACAAGGTACGTAGTTACTTTATTGTGACCATTTAGTCACTTTTTTGTTTGTTATTAACTTTAAACTTAGCGGTTATGCATCATTAATGGGCTAACATTACTTTTACCTTTTCTGAGCATTTGGTTTATCAGCCATTGTGACCGAGGAGGAGGCACGGTTGATTCACTCGATTATCGATTTGGTGTCCTTGCTATCACACCGCTATGCGCATGCGTCAGTCGACTCGATAATAAGATGGCTTTAATTCTAGCATGGTGATTATCTGGTTAAAGATGGGGATTGAGAAGAGTTCAACACAACATCATTATAGCTTTAATTCAACAGCGGGGTGTATTTTCCGTGATCGACAGATTTGTTTGTCTGTCTATGAAGATAAAGTGTTTCTCCAGGGCAAAAACAAATATCAACGTGTAAATCCAACATTTCCACTCTCTGCATCATCCAGTGCCGCAGAATTAACGCACAGTTGGAGAATGGCGACCGCGCAGTCTAAAAATATTTATTTCTAATAATAAGATTTAAATAGTTAAAACAGTCTTAGCCCGGACAAACATTGTATCTTTCCGGACATACATGTGGATCACATTCATTTAATTAAAGATACACACAGCTGGCTCAAAAGTTTTCTAATAGTATTAACTGGGGCCAAATTTACCATAGTAAAGGAGTGTGTATCGTTAGAGACACTTGCTTAAAAGTGATTCTGTGATACATTTGGTTAATCATAAATCACACACACTAGGTCATATGTTATGGTAGCAGACCGGAGATGTAACGTTAGTGGTGGGATTGAGCATTTTGATCCATAGGTGGTGACCTGTGACCCGTTGAGGGCGAAAGATCGGTACGTTTGCGTTAATAATGTACTTTGACCCTCATCGCTCCCACTACAATATCAAAACAAGGAAGGCTCGGAAGTGGCGTCTGTTATGGCAAAAGGGAAGCTGAAGAAGAAATCACAAGGCACATCTCCAGTCATAGGGGCGAACCCTGCAAGCCAGAAAGAAATGACACAACCAGAGAAACATATCTTTTCCCTCGCTGCCCTCGCTTTGGTCGTAGCTGTTTGCGTGGTACCGCTGACAGCTGAAATATCTACCTGTAAGTATACACGACTGTTGACAAGTGGAAAATAAAGCAGCACAGTGCTTCGTAGCTAGGTTAGCTATAGCTAGCTAGTTAATTCACGCTACCTAGTTCGTTAATGTCCAGCACAATATAACATTACTTTCACCTCATTATGCGTTTAAATCGCCTTTCATCAACCAAGTGGAGCTTCGCCACGATAGATACGTCGCTTAAGTATTTGACTATTAAGTCATAAAACCGGTTTGCTCGAAGCTAACTGTAAGGCAACTCTAGCAGCTACAACCCAAAGGAACAGTTGTCAGTCCCAGAATGAACTTCCCTCTTGGTGGGTAGTTCACTGATTAATACAGCATGTGACCACGGGGGCTGTGCAGCCATAACTTCAGCCCTCTCACATGCTTTGCTATTCAAGGCAGCAACGTTAGCTGACTGGCTGTAGCTTGGGCAGACTGGGCAGTTTTTCTTCGTCCCTCTGCCTACCCAGCTAGCTAACCCTGTCTCTGGTATGGAATAGGCTTCTCGTCCATAAGGGTACCAGTGAACCATAGGTTTGGGGTAAGTACAGAAAGCTAGCTGCGCAGCTGTAGCCTCTGTTAAGTTTTTTTTTTAAATGACCACCTTCACTGCATGATTTCTCTGACTTGCACGATATGTAGGTCAACATGGAGTCAGGGAAACTGGATTATTGTGCGCATGTGCACCCAGGTTCTAACTTTTGCAATGCCAAACGTATTGCAAGCGGTTTCTGGTTCATATGAATAATGATCACACGGTGTGTTCAGTGAACAGTGGCTTCACACAGTTGGGTGTGGTTAGCTACACTTGATGCTGTTGCATCTGTTCTGCATGTGAAAAAAAGAAGATTTCAACTAATGCTGCTATTTCTTATTCCAGCTGGCCTCTCTCATAAAAAGCACATATCCCTGAAGATGGATGAGGCGATTCTGACAGTCAACAATGAGCTGGACAGTGACGTGGTGGTGTCCTGGGTGTCAGAGCGATGCTATCAGGTAGGCGCTCACACACACACACACACACACACACGTGTACCAGATATTCTCCTGCAGTTGATTGTGTAGCTATGAGACTTGTTTCAGATGAGGATGGTGTTCTGATCTGGACCCATCGTGTCCCTGTGTGCTAGTGTTTGTACCAGCAGCTGGGGGTGCTACCCGCAGGGCCCGGTCCTGGCCAGCCCAGTTCGGCAAACTTCGTTGTGAGCACACAGCATGAAATCACACTACAGCTCAACAGAACCTCTAGCAACCTGGAGCTCTGCACGTGAGTAAAAGAACACAGATGTGCTTCACAAACACCAGAACTGGCAATATGGTAAAACAGATACAGTGTAAATGATTCAGAAATTTTACCTTGAAATCCATTCTTAAAGTGATTTACAGTTCATCTATAAATGAGCCTAAATGTCTTTTATAAAATACTTTGTAACACATTTCTTAGTTTTATATGTTACTAAACAGGTATTATTTCAGGGGGATTGAATATCTTATATGATTCTAATGGGATTTATGGCCTCATGGACATAACATAGCTGAGCTGATTATAGATGAATATAACATTCGAGGGTCTTCACAGTTCCACTTCACAGCTGAGATGCACCTCCACATCTTAAATGTGATATTTCATTGGACATTATTTTCATTTATTGCCTTTTATCTAGTCTTTTATAATATTATGTTTTTTCTTATTATTATTTCTTATTATTTAATCTGATTTTATCCAGTGTTTTTTAGGCTGTTTTATACATATTTTATTTCTTATTTTATTTCACTCTAATTTTACTTCATCATCTTTTTACCGTATTACTATCGTCCATTAATTCAGTGTTGTATTTTATCTTTTATTATTTTCTTAACTTAAGTTGATGTGCATTAGTCTCTTCATCTTCTCTCCTTTTAGTCTTGTTTTATTTGACTTCCTGTTTGTTTGTGTCACTTTGAATTCTATTTGATTTGTTTTGAAAAGAGCTATACAAGTAAAACGTGACTGATTAATGATGTATTTGACAGACAGTATAATTTCTTCCACATTTCACGGAGTGCATGAACTAGCCATCGTGTTATCAAAACATTGTTAAATGACAATCTACATATATAGAATGACGGATCCATGGAATGACCCTGAGCATATATACGTACATATCAGTCGGTCTGGTTGGTATTATGCATCATTTTCCACTTCAGGGTTCCATTCCACTTTGGGGAGCACGGGAACTACTCTCTGTGGGTGAAGAATCTGAACAACTCCTCAGTAGTCAACTGCTCCGTCGTGACTGATGCGGACCCCGTCAACAGCTACATACGTGAGTCTCACACATACGCTTGTATGACGTGCACATGTCTGGAGTGTTGTTATGCCGTATTCATCCCTGTCACGCTGTACAAACAACGTGGCACGTTCAGATAAGGATTCTCTCTCTCTCTCTCTCTCTCTCTCTCTCTCTCTCTCTCTCTCTCT